AAAAAAAAAAAAAAAAAAAAAGGCTATGTGTGCTAATTTGCTCGTGAGAATTTCTAGGTTTGTTAGGGTTGGAGTACCCTTGTACTCCCATTAATTTATCTTTGCTTTTGGTTGATCGAAAAAGAAGAGTTGAACCATGGATATGAAACAAGGCTGCTGAGTTAGCTGAATTGGAAAATTCCATATCCATGATCAAGGGTTTCTTGTATTAGCAAAGGGGTGGAGAAGTTTCATACAAGATGTTAGCTCAGAATGATTGAATGCTTATGAAAACTGATGCATGAAAATGCTGGAGAATAAGGGAAAATGACTTACAAGTGCAAACGATAAAATTCTAGTAGGCACATCAGGTAGTTCTTTGTATTGGCAGTCAGGAAGAGGTAATCTGCGTCCCGAGGATTAGATTCAGCAAAGTCCGTAATCTAAACCTCAGGATGCAGATTACCCTGTCCTGACCAATATCAGAAAAAGGACACGCCTCCAGGAAGATCAATGAAGAGAGGAAGAAACATGCAAAGCTATGGATTGAAGCTTTGCAGCAAAGTTGAGGCCATTATGCATGAGTTCATGAAATTTATTAGGGTTCATACTTTATGAAGCTGACATGCATAAGATTTTTAAGTTTTAAAAGGGCCATATTGAATAAAGTGAGATGAGGTGCTCTAAACTGGAATCATCATAGATTTGTTCTTCTCACAATCAATGATGGCCTCACTTTTAGTAGACAATGATGTTTGATCTTGACTGCTTTTTCAACAGGACTGAGAGATCTTCCCTCAAATTGTTATAAAAGCCACCAGAGAACGAAAAGTCTTGTCAAGAAAATTGTCCCCATGAAAATCCAAGAGGTCTTCACGTGTGCTTGAAGCTAACACACTGCAAAGGAAGAATCTTGAGCTTTATGAACACATTTTCTAAGTTGGGTTCTGTTTTTTTTACCCTGCAAAAGTAATCCATGCGGTATCAGGTTTCCTGGTATCCACCTGCTTTCAATGTGCTTAGCATATTCTATTCTTATGGCTATTGAACGCCTGAAAGGCACCTTACTGTAACCCACTCCCAGGCCCACTGAGGGCTTGTTTGGCTAACAGGATAGGCTTCCTTTCCTTGATTTTCTGTGAAGCCAATACAGAGTTGAACATGGCAGCTGCAGCCAAACACAACCTACCGTTCTGTTCACATTATTTTCCCCCCTTGGAGAATATTACCTCAATCAGGATGGTATATCCAATCATCATGCATCAAATCGAAATCAATCACGCAGGTGTCCAACTATATGGAACTAATTAGTTCGGATGCCGCATAACTCGAAGGAAGCAAGCGTCAACAATATTCTTTTTCTTCTTTTGCGCCTCAAACAAGCAACTGTTGACAGAGAATAAATTCCAGGCAAAACCCTTTGTTAAGCCCTTGAATATATCCCAAATTCTTGATTAAGCCCCTAAACTTTTATTAAAGTAAATAAACTCCTAAACTTGTTAATTTAAACAATTTAACTCCTTTTTTTACGCAAACTAAACATCTGTTCGAACCTTGTACAAACAAGATCAATATCTACCATATAAACAATGATATGTCAATATTTTATTCACGCAAATAAGATGAAAACGAACATTAAGTCTATTGCCAAGAAAAATGTTAAATTAATTTAATCGTAAAATTTAAAAATTTATTTATTCCAATAAAAATTTATGAGTTTAATAAAAAATTTAGAATAAATTCAAGAGTTCAATAAAAGATTCTGCCTAAATTCTAGGGTTACTTTCCAGAATTCCCCGTGCTAAGAACCAGGCGGCTGCTAAGACCTTCGCGGCAACTCCTGCTGATCTCTAAGTCACCGTATTTGTTTAGTGTTTTGATTAGGAATTAGATTTAGTGGCCCTACAATCTCATGCAATCATGGACCATAAAATTTCATGGAAGGCATCCATCAGGACCATCAGAAGAAATCATAAAGAACTTGTTCTATGTAGCAAGTAGTAATCCAATATTTGTACAAAAGTTCAACTAGGCCAACCAGGCTCTAAACAATATGATGTGCACAGGACACTCAAGTCCTTGTACAATTTCTTTATCTCTACATAAATAACAATGAACAAAGATCAAACAAAGCTCTAGCAGAACAAGATCTTTTGTTACTTAATATAAAGCCAAACATTCAGAGGAACTGAAGGGGGGCAGCCAGCTTAACCTGCATGGAGGCTGGTAACTAGTTAAAGAACAGAACTGTTTAAATCACAATATCAACAAGAAATGATAGTACTAAGGACTAGTATATTAGAACTGAATGAAATTGTCAATCTCACTGTGCTAACCACCTATACAGACAAAAATCTGATGGCAGGAAACGACAAAATTTACCACCATGGAAGGTCGAACAATAGCAATGAAGGAACATTTCTTTTTACCTACATCCTATCTTTAAATGACTACTTGGCCTTTCTTTTTTTCATTTCTTTGTTTGGTTTCCCTTTTGCTGATGAAAGCTTAATCACAAACTTGATGGGACCAATATATAAGTAGCATAACGCAGCAAGCTGAAATGTAGATGTTAACTGGTAGGGATGCCTGATAGAAGCATCTTCAATGTCTCGTAAGTCATGAAGACAATGCCTACACCTGGAACCACCTTGTAATATTCAGGCAAAATTCCTCTATACAACCCTCGAAAACCTTCACTCTGGATTATATGCCTGAAAGTGCCCAATATTCCACAGTTATAGACACGGGCTCGACCAGCAGCCCCTTCCAATTGCATCCTTCTCCTCACAAGATCAATGGGAAATGTTGCTGCAAATAGCCACACATAGATCAGAACCCCGTTCTTAATATAAGATAATCTGAGCACAAAAGTATAAAAACTGGAGGCCCAATGACGTTCATCAAGCCAGAATATTTCCAACTCCTTTCCTAGCCACATAAAAGTCAAAAGAGTCCACATGCATGGTTTTGTAACTGAAGTTCATGCAAAACAACAAACCAACAATCCAAAAGTATATTGTTATGAGCTACTTTGGTATATGGAGCAGTTTTTTTGGGTTTGCTAAGAGCAGAGTGGCAAAATTGGCAAAATTAGAGTTAAATATGTTATATCTAAAGATTTTGCATTACGACGCCAAACCTCAAAACTCCATGTCCAAATAAACTATAGGGGTAGCAGATCGCTAACCTGTTGATGATGCAATGCCTGAAAGGCTCCCACATGCAAGACTAACCATGGCAGTGGAGTCATTGGGCCTGATATTGACATTATAATAAATTAAGACAATTTAAAAGCTTTAGGTGGAAAAGAGAAACATAAAACGTGCACTAAACATCTAAAAATGGATGGATAAGAATCTACACCTTTCAGACTGCCAAGAGGATTTCAGTGACTCAAAAACAGAAAAACTTATTGCTATACTGGGTCCAACACCCTGAAACACAAAAAGCATCACACCAACAATTAAAATCAATGTGAAGGAGAAGAAAGCAGCTAAAGAAGAATAGTGAATATACCAATAATGTTGCTCCAAGTCCTTTATACAATCCTAAAAACCCCTCTTCTCTGCATATTGTGTGGAAAGCATGCCAAACACCTCTGTAGTATATTGTACTTCTCTGAAATGTTAAAATAATTGAGATCAGACAAAAGTTGAAACAGGAAACAAGATGATTTTTTTTAAAAAAATAATACTAATACTAATAATAATGAGGATGCTTTCTGGTGTTGCTGATATTACCTGTGCTGCAAGACGTGTCCTTACGAGGTCCAGGGGGTATGTGGCAGAGGCAGCAGTTATTCCAGCCAACCCACCACCTACAAAGGGCACAAGGACATCAGCACTTGTGCTACCCCTTTGATTTACCTGGCCAAGAAATGATTGCAACCACTGCAAAACAAAAGGCACAAATTAATTCACAAGTAGCTGGAAAAGCACAGTAAAAGGGTAAAGGTCATTCATTGAGCATCAGAACGAACACTCTTGTAATGTTCATAGGCATAAAAGTTCACTGAAGAATAAGGAAGACGATGAGCGATGGTAACCAAGTTGCCCTTCCAAAATGCTCTGAACCCTTCTTCATTAATAATGCGTGAAGCCTCACGCCAAATGCAAGCTTTACTCAATGTTGCCACATCAGAATGCATGCCTTGCACCTGGAAAATAGAAGAGTATCAAGCAATCAGCAAATCAAAAAACTAAAAGAAACTTAAATTTTGCATTTCATGAACTGAAACCCAGAATCAGGACCAAAGATCCTTGTAAGAAAGAAAGAGGATATGGGTATGGCCAATCAAATGGATCCTTTCCATCTCCGAAAACGTGCAAGCCACTTGAATTTTTTCCAGAATTACTTCCTTGCAAACAGATAAAACTAAATCTCATTGCTCAATGCCTAAACCGCCAATACCTCCTTCCACAAAAACTATCTACATTTCCTTCCGAAAAATTTGCACAATTCTTATCAGAAACTTGGAACCTTATGACAGACACAACAAATTCCAAAACAGACAAACCCAATTTCCCCAAATTCCTGACGTTATTAATAAAAGAAAACCCCAATTAAGAAATGCCCAGATTAAGGGAAATTTAAAGAAAAAGTAAGCAGCTTTTTGTGGCCAAATCAAACAACGAGAAATAAACGCACAAATGGTAAAAAAAGATGGACCTGAAATAAGATAGTGAGGCGAGCAAGAGGCGCCGTACAGGTCTTGCTAAAGGCGCCGGCAATACCACCAGCTAAGAGCTGGCTCAGAGTCCCCAGCTGCGACTGCTGTGGACCCAGAGACGGTTTTGAATGGTCGTGTTGTTGCTGGTGCTGCAAAAACTTTCTCGTACCTGCATCCACCACGGTTCCGTGTGCGGATTTCAGAGCTCTCTGCCCTCCTTCAACGACCACCCCAACCCCAGCTTCCATGATCATATCCAGATTTCGCTATCTTAACATGGGCTTTAACCAAAACGTGAAGAAATACAATGGAACGTCAACCAAGTAGAAGCTAGAGGGAAATGAGTCTCTGAGATTTGGGGAAGAACAGAGAAAAGACAAACCCTAAAAACCCTAATGTGGGAGGGTTTGTGGTTTAGGATTGGAATGTTATTGTAAAATTGCGGCTATTTCGAATATATTTCGCGTGGTTTGATTTGAAGCGTACAGCTTTTTCTTGTTTATTTTCACGCCACTTTTTTACAATTTTTATTTCAGGACTTCTGCAAGCAAGCCTAATCCTCTCCCTCGGGCGATCCTGAGTTTGATGGTAACTCAAACATTTAAATTATAATTTTTTTATGTTAATTTCTTATTATCTAAAAGTCATATTCATCATCAATTAATTTAGGAGAGACTGCATCAAACCCATAAAAAAAAACTTTTTTTATCTTTATTTTTTTAAGATTTGAATTCAAAACTTTAAATAAGTAGAATTGATTTTTTTTCATTTAGATTAATAAATTATTAATTTTTATATCAATTATATAATAAAAAATAATTTTATTTTATTTTTTAACTTACTTAACTTATATATTATGTAATTCAAATTTAAAATTTTTTTATTTATATTTGTTGACAAATTATAAACTTAATATATAAATGTCACTTGTTGAATGAATTTAATTTTTTAAATTATCTTTATCTAAAAAAATAAAATAATATTAGATAATATTTTTCTAATTAAATAATAAAAATTTTTTTTTCTCATCTCAATAAATCATTAGCCTCTCAATGTTCAAAAAAAAAAAAAAATCATTAGCCTCTCAGCTAATACTTATAATGATATTTTTCCAGCATTCCAATTATTAGTACTTACAAATTGTTTATACACTAATAATATATTAATATTTGCATGTTACTCATAACATAACAAATTAGACTTAAAAATGGACCCTTGGAAAGATCCAATTATTCCCACCAATGCAACCCTTGTGGAAAATTATATTCCTTGAAATTTGTCTCTCGACCCTTCACTTTTGCAATGGCCAAAGGAATTACCACAATCCTTTGGACCTTTCCCGAATCATTTTTTTTTATCTACTTATTGCATTCTCAATAAAAGAATTTGTCTATTAATTTTAGGCAACAACTGATTCCCCATTATAGAAAAATATCGGGACATGATATTTCTGCAATGCATTGATTAAAAGGGAACTTCCATGTGGACAGTATGCTGCCACCTGCTCGCTCTCTTGTTGTTCCTTTGAGACTCGACAGATGCCTAAATTTCACATTTATTCACGTGATAAATAGAAATTCTCTCCCCTTTCTACAAGTTCCATCAAGTGAGGCTACAAAATTCAAACGTGAAAATATTTTGTGGAGCTTACTTGGAAGTGTCTGGAAATTCTGGAGCTACACAATATTGGGCCTACAAAACCTTTATATACACAAAAATAGAACCCTACAATACAAGTACTTCTTGATCTGCGTTGTCACAGATCTTAGCCCCGTACAACAATTAATGTAATGGTACAAACATTCTTGGAGAAAAATAACTGTGAGATAATCATTTTGGGTAATTTTTACTAATAACTTTACATGTTTTTTCCTTTATTTTTAATTAATTTTTAATATTTGAAAGTCACAATAAATTTTAAATAATTTAAAATTAAATTATATGAAATCTTATAAAAAAACTTTCTTAACATTTATTTTTCATTTATAAAAATCAAATTAAAAATCTTATAAAACTCTTTTTATTTGAATTCATAAGTCATAATAACTTTATATATCATTTAATATTTTTTTATCTGTATTTATTTATTTAATAATATAAAAATTTATCCACGTATGATTACTCATTTCTTACGTAAGTGCCTGAGAATGCATTTAGAATGCATTTCTTATCGCCCTCTACAATGAATGCAACGTAACACCAGATGAAAAGATGACATATCAAATTCGCTTGGCCCGCTGTATGTATAAAAAAAATCAATCACTCAAGCTCTTCTTTTAAGTCATGTTTCATTATACAAAATACCATAAAGAAAAACATTGTAACTGAAGTCAATTTCAGAAATTTTGCGCCAATCATTTATGTAGTAAACATTTCTAACCATCATTACAACGCAATTTGATGGCACATACCTTCTTAGACCCTAAAGAAGACAATTCATTTCACTAACATTTGATTTCAGCGTTGCATTTCTGGTAACATACACACAGCCTCATCTATGTGAAACTTTGTTAGTATAATACCACCATTTAATTGATCCATGATGATCACAAAGCTCTAAATGTGAACGCTTTCTAACCAACAAAATCATGCAAGAGCTGTCCTCCCATAACGTCTCTTCCGAAATGTCGATTATGTGCTTCAAAGCCACCCATTACATATCCATCACTGCTTGCATCAATGGCAAGTCCAATGCGTTGAGATATATTTATGGGAAAGGGCTCCGACAAGCCAATCCCATTGCTCTGATGAAGACCAAGAGTTAAGGAAACACCACTATTTCCCCCTGTCATGCTCACACCAACACCACCATGTGGGTGGTTTGACAAGTTATTATAGGACAAGTTTGATGGTCCACTTCCTGTCGGTATGTCTGGAAGTTCACTTCTAGTGCGTTTGGACGGAGTGTCTTGTGTCCTTTGAGTAGAGGTAGATGGGTGCTGCGATGCAAGAGAGTTCACTGATGATAGATGATCATCACTTGATTTGTTGGCATTTTGGTCCTCCTTTTGGGATGCTTTCTGAGCTTGCCTTGTTTCTAGCATGTGTATTTCCTCCACCATTGGCTTCCAAAGCCTCACTCTTGCATTGATAAACCAATTAGACACCTAGTACCAAACAGCATGCAATCAAAAAACAGCCTTCTCACTAATATCGTGCATTCAAAATTGATTATGACACTTGTTTGATTTTATCAAAAAAGAAATGTAACTTGTTCCAGAATTAGTAGCCTGGATTGTTAGCAAAGCACTGAAATTGCATAAAAAAATAATGAGAAATAGCACACCTGGCTACGCGATAGACCAGTTTGTTTTGCCAACATTAGCTTGTCTGTATCAGTGGGATAACTGAAACATAGAGAATTTTAACTTAAATAACATCATGCAGTTGTGTGAGTCAGATCTTATCAAGGAATTGATTCAATTGAAGTACTTACGGGTGTAAGAAGTGTTCAAATAACCATGCCCTAAGGACCGTTACAGCACGCTCAGGAAGGCCTCTTTGTGGCCGCCAAACAGGTTGATGTTCAAAATATCCAGCGTTGTGAACAGTTCTCTGGTTATAAGGGCTTCTATCGCTACTGCTTCCAAACCTGAGAGCTTCATTATCTTTTCTGGGGCTGATCTGACCATGACCTTTATTGGTAAATTGAAGCTGATCAGTGATTGCATTCTTCAAGCACCTGAAATGTTTAGACATGGCTTTTATGGCAAAGTTGGCATATGGAGCTGCATTGCCTAGCCCAGGAACATATTCAAAAGATGCTACCACAGCTTGCATTTGTTGGTAGTACTGCTTGTACCTCTTGTAAACCTAGTACATATAAAAACAGTATGAAGTTGACCAAAAAATAATAAGCAAAGAAAGTTGGCACATGGAAGAAGAAAACTGATTACTGTAAAATCAAATTCCATCAAAACAAATTGAACAGGAATAACAATTACCTTCGGCCAAAAAAATAAAGAACAAAAAAAATAGATGAATAACATTTTTATGTTCTTAATTGGCTCCTCATAAGGAGCACTCCCTAGCTAACATGCCAATTCAGATCTCCATAGAGAGTTCAAAATTGCCTCTAATATCCAGTCACCTAATACCGAAATACCAACACCACAAGAGAGCTCTGCTATGTTAATTCAAATTCCTAAAGAAATGACAATTAATTAAGAGGACAAGGGGACTATTGGATCTTAACATGTAAACACCAATGCAATATTGTCCCTAGTCCTAGATAAGAAAACATTATGAATTGCAGCAAGGACCACAGTAAGATCATAGTTCAGCCAGTAAGCCGATGCATCAGCCAGTCCTCATCATGTATCTGTTTCATTGAATGATTAATGACTTGAATCATTTTAACGAGGGGAGATAAATAGGAGTCTGCCAGAAACCATAATTATAACTCTTAGGCCATCATTATTGCTTATTTTCCTAAAACGCCACATGAAAGAGATTTTTAAAAAGAGGAAGAAGTGTGAAGGCAATTTCTCTTCAACTGCACTTATGCAGCTGTCACCGTTCTTGCAGAAATATATTGTACTGATATTAAAAAAAAAATAAAAAAAAACTAATACCAAACATTATCATCACCATCGTGGAGTTGTTATAAAAACTAAGTGAAAGGTTATAGCACCTTTGGATGGACAGAAATGAAGGAAAAGGAAAAGAAGAATTTTCATCCAATTGAATGGAGGCCTTTGAAACAACAATATATGTTCAAGTTACCAACAAAAATTTGGCCAAATTGATACCCACTAACTTAAAAACATTGATTTGGGATCAAGGTCAGAGGTTCAAATCTTTGTGATGCTAAACAACTAACCCCCCCAATGTACCAAAATATGTGTATGTGTTCGAGTATATGGTCTAATAGATGCTTTAGAACCTAGTGCCAATCAAGGCTGCATTGCATAGGAACCTTGGAAATGATTTTATTTTTTTCATTTGCCAAGTACATCCCCAATTTTTACCGCCTAGATAGGAAACTCAGCTATGACACAAGTTTCATGACAAAGAAAGAATAAAATTTTTTTGGATACATGTCACACTAAGAGCAACAATCCAATAATGCAGTTAGAAGTAAAGACTGAAGGCGACTAAGAGTAACATCAGCTTATAACTGGTGATGCACATAATTAACTGAAGTTTGATGTTAGTTAAAAGTCCATACGTCCTATACAAACAAGAAAGTTAGCTAATTCAAATGATACTCGATATGAAGTTTGCAGAGAAATTAATTCAAATCAACAAATAAGGAGATTAATATAAAGTTAGAGGACTCAACTGCAGTTTAATTTATGAAACAATACACCAAAGGGATGGTAAATGCAGAACAAGAAAAGATACAAAGATGACAATATCAGTACTAACAATAAAATTAATTGATGAACTGATACTCAACCTAAAAAGGTATTATGTCTCAAACATCATTTAATTAATTTTATATTATGAATACCATAGAGGCTTATATTACAAGCAATCCTACCCAAACACTCTGGCTCTACTTGTTTCATGACATTAAATTTTCACAAAAAAGTAGGAAAGCATACAATTATTAACTTTTCTTTGGGCCCCAAGTAAAGCATATCTCCCAACAAACACCAATACCATTCAAATTCTCAATATTATAGGTTTTAATACTGCAACCTAAGAACAATAATTTCAGGAAACCAATTCATTCAATCCTATACTACCACTCTAACCACGCACTAAAAAAGTTGGTGTTAAAATATTTCTAATTCATCACATGTAAAAATATTTCTCTCCATCTCAACCATCAATTAATACAGTAAAAACAACTCAATCTATACCTTAGACCTTTCTGATAAAAAAGGCCAGACACTTGCTGTCTACTCATCTTGTTCTTCGACCATTATGCCTTCCGTGAACTTTTTTAGAGTATAAATCGTTATAACTCGATTCCTTTACATACTTTAAGCACATTAAGCCCCAAACTTGAAGGCATGGTCCCTTATTAGAACTCTTTCCATGGTTGTCAGGTGATGCATATATTCCCCCTATCAACTTTTCTAAAAAGTCAATTTGGCAATCACCCAGGCGATCTATATCTCATGGCTTATAGAATGAAGAATCTAATTCACGGTATTCGCAATCAAGGAAGCAATTAAACAACTCAGATACTATCATACACACACAACAAAGATTGCTTCCAATGATTTACCGACACTCAATTATGCATGCAACATTCACCACATTGCATGTTGGTTCAAAAACATGACTAACCTAACAACATTAAAGAATCATTTAATAATTGGAAGTAGCGGCTCCTACAGTGACAAAAATGCTCGATTTTCATAGAGAACAATCTCCAAGGTAGATCTAAGAATTGGACAAAAACAACATAATTTATGTCGGAAGCTGAGATCTAAAAATTAGTCTTACCTCTTCAAGCATTGAAAGTAGTCTTGACTTCTTTCTTATATTTTCACTGCTGCCTCCGCCGCCGCCGCCGCCAAGCGGATCGTCCATAATTCCAAGACCGCTCAAATTCTCCATGGGAGGATCCATCAAGGAAGAATCGGGAGTGATTTTCTCGGCAAAAATTTCGCTACCCACGTCGCATAATTCTTCTAACAACTGCTGCGCGGGTTTCAAGAATCTCGATCCCTTGAGAATCAACGCATAACCTGTGAACGGCCCCAGAGGAACCGAGCTCCTGGAGACCTCGTTGGAAGTCGAAGCAGTGGCGCCGACAATGCCGGGAACCACATATCCACCACCGTAACGTTGTAAATTGAGCTCCAGAGGGAGATTGTTTTGGTGGGTATTGTGGGAAGATAAAGAAAGAGACAAGCCTTGACCGCAGTTACTAGATTCCGGTTTAAACACGATCACCTCACCGCTGTTATAGGACTGGTCGAACTCTCTTAGGTTTTGAGGCGCGTAAAAAAATGGGTTTGCATTCATGACTTGGACGGAGCTAGGGTTGATTTGCAAAGACGATTGTGGGTCCAAATAAGGGTGACTGGAAGTTGAAGAAGAAGAAGGAATCCCACCAAAAAAACCCATGAAATTCACACCCTCTTCTTTCACGCCACAAACTGGGTTGTTGTTGTTGTTCTTCGGCTGCTGAAACTCATGAGGAGGAGGAGCTGGGTTGGCGCACGTAAGCAAATCTGAAGGGAGGAGGGAAGGATCGTAGAGAGGGAGTAAACCAGCACAACCTTGAAGCGGTTCAACGGAGGGATGATTTTGAGCCACAATTCTGAGCTTATCTCTTCTGCTCTGTTGTGGGACATGGTAGGGCTCAAATCCCTCCGCCATAGCAATAACTAGAGAGAGAGAAATTAAAAGAGAGAGAATTCAGATCAAATATATAGTTAAAATAGATGCGGTGATGATGAAATGAAAGACTATCAATTTATCATTGATCTTCTTAGCTGAAAATACGGCAGAGTGGCGTAGGTTAGCAGGGAATCGTGAAGATACACAGAATTCCGGTTTGGGGAGCACAGTACACTACTGCAGACCACACACCCATCTTCTTACTTCATCGCTCACTCACATATACAAACACAAACCAACAAAATCTGTGTTACAGTTTGTGGTGAAAGGGAGGTGAGCATAGGGTTTCGGGAAAACGGAGGATGCGGGGGAACTGACGACAGGGTAATTCCGGTAATAGCTGGAGGAATCGTGTTGCGGGAGGAGGAGATATTTGTGAAGGAGGAGGGTTTTGTCGCGTAATGGAGTTTTTGGGGTTTTGTGGGTGGAAGAGTGGAGATTATTCTTAGAAAAAAGGAGACAAAAAAAAAAAGAAAAAAAAAAGGGGATAGAAGTTAATGGAGGTGATGACGCACGTGAGAACAGAGGGATGAATGAAGTGAAACTGTGAGGAAAGAAAGGCTGAGTTTGCAACACAACATTACTTCTCTTAACCCGAGGGACTTTGATTCTCGCTTTACGAGGTTTTCTTTGATTTTTAATTTAATTTCAATATATTTTTGAGTCAATCGTTTTTTAAATTCTATAATTAAAAAGATTTGTAAAGGAAGAAAGAAAGGTATTGTGTGGGGGGCTTAATAAATTTTCAAGTTTTTTTAATAAAAAAATTAAAAATAATATATTTTAAAAGTAAAAATAAGTTTATTTCAGTTTTTTTATTATACTTTAATAAAATAATTTAGTTTTTAGATTTTTAAAACTTTTTTGAGGGATCCTAATCTCTTTAATTATTTATATTTTATATTTTTTAACTGAAAAAATAAAAATAAAAGGCATTAATTTTAAGCGGAGAAGTGTAACATTCATAAACGGACGGTAGTATTCTTATGTTTCTTTAAAGATAAGTGATTTTAACACCAATTTAGATAATAAAATAATATTTTTATGTTTTTTTAAAGATAAGTGATTTTAATTAACACCAATTTAGATGATAAATTTTTTTTAAATAGTGGCATTTTAAAATATGATACCATATCATTGGGTTGGGTGAGCGGCTAAAATATAATGTTTAGTCCTATAGTAATTTAATGAAACGTTCACCTCACAATCATAAAACTACATAATCCCTTAAATCAAATTACACGTGCCATCAACAGACCCGTTTATTCCTAAATCAGTTTTATAATAATGTTTTATAGTAATCTCAATCTTGTTCAAGCAAATGATAGGCAACTTGAAAAAAAAAAAGGAGGAGGTATTTTACAATTTAAATTATAAAATATTAATTATTTGAATAAAAAGGATTCCAATATTAAGGGAGAACTTCTCATTTAATAATTTTAGATACTAAAATTTGTTTTTCTCATTTTATCATAGTTATTTTAAAAAAAAGTCTAACAAGTACTACTAATATCCAACAAAATGGAAGACACAATTCATAAGAACCAGAAAAGAAATTCCTTTCATATAACATGTAATTAATATTCTCTTACTCTAACTTTAATCCATCCTTGAGAGGATCAAGCCCTAATGCCTTACTAATTCGCTCTCAAGTCCCTGTAAAAATTAAAAATTCACCCATTTGTCCTCAATTTTCCATGTTTAACGAAAAGGGGGGAAAAAAAATCTATCCCTGAGGGAGTCTAATTATTGCTTGACGCACTCACAGCTTCTTTGCATTAGTAGTAATAATTATTAATTCAGTCTTGCATGGCATCGTCCTTACTTGGATTCCCCGTGGCTTATTTGAATTATGATTAAGGAAGTAGAATCCAGTCAGAATTCAGAAAAGCAGATGTGTAGAAGTGAAAGTACTGAACTCAAAAGGCTCCAACTCCACTCCCTTCTCATCATTGTCAAACATTACTACTCCTAAACCACCCCCCCCCCCTAACTTTTTTTTTTAATTTTTTATTTTTGAATTTGAAAATATGGTTGCCAACGCTCCACCCATGCACCAACGTAACAACACCTCTCTCCACAAAATACATATAATAGACCCCCATTATGAAACATAATAATATATAACAAAATCGAAGAATTTAATATATTAAAATACAAGAGGAATTGAATGCACGTGGCAAATGTTCTGACAGAGATTTGTGTCTACTGTTGATGATGCGTAGGGTTGGTACTCAGGTGACATCGTCATGCTAACGTTCTGATCTTTTTCCTTTAAAATCTTTTGCTTAGCCCCCGAGTTTGCCGTCGACCCACGAAACGGGATCATATCCACAATTACAGTACTCAGTACAGCACTAACCTGTCCCACGTCCCCTGATTTTGTGATTGCCCTCCATCACGGAGGAGAAACGAGGAAGGTAGGAATTTTTTTTTTTTGGTACATAGGAAGGTAGGAATTTTAACTCACGAGAAACGGAGGAGAAAAGGACCTAAAAAGGGTGAGGTTCAGGACATGGAAGACCCTCTGTAACAGCGTCAGGCCGTCAGCGTCACACTGTTTGCGTGAAGCGAGACTGGTGGGGGGAGGATCTGTAACACTGTAGCGCTACTGCACTGTATAAATGTGTAATGCCCCGAGAAAATAACTGTAAATACTATTCATTATTCACGGTTTTAAATCTAGAACAAAAATTTTTTATTTTATATATTATTTTTAAAATTTTTTTATTGTTAATTAATATTTTTTATAATTTAAATTTTATAAAAATTTAAAAATTAATGATCAAATTTCTCATTTGTATCTTAAATTTATTGGTAATTTAAATTTTTTTATAAATTTTAAATTACAAAAAGTGTTAACTAAAAATAAAAATTACAAATAATATTAATAAAATATAATGTATTTAGTGTAAATAAAAAATTTAACTTTAAATTTAAACTTTTAAAGACAAATAAGTTTTGATTTAAAAAATTATTAGTATAGTAATGAGTTTAAAATGAAGTTATTTCAAAATGTGTCTTTCAAATTTTTTTTATAAAAAATTTTATATCTTATAAATTAAATTATAATGAATTATAAAAAAATTAAATAAAAATTTTTTAAAATTTTTTTATATTAAATGATTTATTACTTAAAATATTTTTTTTATAATTTACATTATATTAATTTACAAAATAATAATCCTTAAATTAAGAAGGGTTCTTAAACTTTTTTTTCCTTACAAAATCATAATTTTATAATTTAATATAATTTAATTTATAAAATAAAAACATTTTATTATTTATTAATAATTTGTATTGTCTATTACACATTATAAAATTTTAAAAAAAAAATTTTAAGGAAAAAAACGAGGGTCTGATCTTGGTTCTGGCAGTGGTAGTACTTTCTCTTCGACTTTGCACCGTCCGATGAGCCTCGAAAGTCGGAAATGGCGACCTGATCAACTTTTGTTACTATAACTGTTGGCGGCCCCGCAGTGTCTGCAGGTCCTTGACACCCTACGGCCTACGCTCTGTTGTCAGGCCTGGAAATGGAAGTGATGTTTCCAGGGCCAGTATCTGCTATCGCCAGAGTACAAAGAAGACCAGACAAATTGGACGCTGTTAAGACATTAAAACGGTACAGTTTTTGTCAATTATTGTGGCCAAGGGTTGTCTGGTTAATTGGGTGCTAATTGGGCCCTTAATGGCTTGGTTATGAAGGATTTCCTCACCTCTGTTACATATAATTAAAGGTAATTCTTTATTTTTTTAAATTATTTTCACTTATTTTAAAAAAATTAAATATAAAGATTTTAATTTAAAGCTTTAAATTTGATCACTCAAAATACTTCTTTGAAGATCTTATAGAGTTAAATTTACATTAAATAGATAATATCTTACAAGTTAATTCACAGTTTAAATTTTGGATGTAATGTAAGGAAATTTACCTTTTCTGATTATCTTTTGTTAAGATGTAATGCAAAAATATTATTATTATAATATTACATAATATCATAAATATATAATATTATTAATTTTTTATTTAAAAATTTATGTATAATATTATATTAATTTAATAATTTATTATATTATAATTATTGCATCAACCTATGTAATGCAAGTGCAGAAGTAAAATCATTTAGGGGATTATTATTTTTGAGAGACAAATTATTCTGTAAAAACCCCAAATGTCGAGAAATAAATAATGGAGAAGGAAACTAGCCATACGAGAAAGCGACTGATCCCACCAGTTGGTGACTGGGGTGTGGGTGGTGCAGACAAGGTTAGTACAACATTATGCAGGTCACTTAATAGCATACTACGTTTTTAGTTCTTTTTTTTTTTCTTTCTTTAAAAAGACACACGAGCAGTTGTTGACAGGTTAATAACATGTATCAATTTTTTTTCTTTTTTTTGAACATATATCCAAGGGGCGGGTTTCGAATCCAGTCCGAAAAAGGGAATGCACGGGGTGGTTATTGCTATTAGGCTGTAAGAACCAGGTGCATGTATCAAATATTTTAATTTATATTAAAATTAAATTTTTATTTTTATTTTTATTTTTTTATAAGGGCAATTGTTTGTAAGTTAGTATTATTAGATATTAATAATTGGAAATTTAATCTTCAGATCAGGTGAACAATCCACCAACCTCAATGAGACGCGCGACCATAGGTCACTTGATGGAGTTCAATTTAAATTTTTATCTAAACAGTTATAATATATATTTTTATTTTTTTCAAAATTTTCCTGGTTTAAAAAACATAAAAATACATGTTAAAAATTCATGGGGTGTGATGATAGACAAAGCAAACAGGAGTAATTACCGCTTGGGATTTGAAAATTTTTTTAATTAACTTTTTAATATCTAAAAGTAATATTGGATATTTGCTATTTTAGAATCGAATTACGTGAATTATATTAGATTTTATAAAAAAAAAATCATGTAATATATGTTTCTTTATTTATAAAAGTTAAACTCAAAATTTTATTTAAGAAAAATTAATATTTTTTTACCCAAATTAATAGATAGTTGATTAAAAATATTCATATAATTTAGATTTTAAGCTTATATATTTAAAATTTTAAATTTGAATTTTGAGGTAAATAAAAAAATCTTTTCTATCGTTGGATAATGGGGAAGGGGAAAACTTACAATTACAAAAGGATTGATCCCTCATCTTCGGCGAGAGAGTAAAGCACCCCATTCAAAGCAGCTAAAGAGCTGCAGGTGGGGGTAAAGAGAAATTTTAAAAAAAATGACTATTAAATATCGTATGATTCATTATCAAACTAAAAAATACCCCTATGTTTGAGCATGTTTGCTTGAAAGTCTTAAATTATATTACCTTAAGAAAAAGTAAATGGGCTTGAAAGAGGCTCCAAGCCCACAAACACGTGCATGATGCTGGATGGGCTTATTACAACTGACTCAGGTGCATATAATCTGTTGGGTCTCGGACTTGTTACTACAAGCCCAAAGTTGTTTCTTTTCTTAGCCTGCTATACCAAACCAGACATCAATGATTAGAGAGAGCTCATTGCATTAAAATTCACAATAAGAAAATGCCTTCTACGACACCTTTTCAAATGCTTTTGAAGCAAGTGATTACCTCTTTTTCCAACAATACGATGCCCACTCACACCCAAGTGTATGATGCCATCTAATATTATTTTTTGGCTGAAATTGGAAACACAAAGCATCTTCTCTACCTCTTTTTCCCCTCAATTTTGCTTTTCTTTCACGGTTTCAGTAAAGTTAATTTCAGCCATATCATTTTGTCCCTTGAGTCCTTAACTTTACCATCAAACTCATATGTCCAAAAGAGATAAGTATTTTACATCAATCATGGAAGTTTTTACATGAAAAAAAGATACAATATATACCAGTGCAAATCGCAAGTAGATGCATGCTAAACAAAAATCTTTATAATGGGCAAATTGAAAAGCACAGCTGGTCATTAAATTGTGTTTAAACACATGGGTGCCAGCCAGTTTACACATTTTGTCAAGAGTTTATATATTTTTTTTTATCATTTCCTATCAATAAATCAGGGACACCATTCCTTTCTAATTTTATATTAATCTTAAATTTTAAATTTTAAACTTGATTTATAAGATTATTTATTTATTAATAGATTTAACTTTCAAAATTAAGATATTTTGATAATTAAAATGTCATAATTGATAATAAAAATATTAAAATATTATTAATAAATCAATAAATAAAAAATATTTATTAAAAATACGTATGTAAACAATTTTATATAAAGTCTTGATATTTAAAATATGAGTATATCTTAAATTTCACATTCTTAAAATGTATATAAACGGATAAAGGAATCATGAAAATGAATTTGGCTAAAAGAGGTCCACGTTGTCGATGGATCAATGGCGTCAGATTGATCATTACTTGGCAAGTTGCCCAAAGGACAAACCTTTCAAAAAGAATAAAAAGAAAATGAAACCCATATAAAAAGCATGAGAAAAATTTTGATGTCACTCTCCTATACAACATGATATATTTGGAAGTTTGTTAATTTCATTTCGTCGGCTTCCATCCATGCTTGTCCCAAAAATGATATTATTGTTTACACCTCACAACGACACTGTAAAAGAAATAACCGCATAATATTTCTTAAGATTGAAGTCTATATAATGTGCATTAAAAAATCAACCCACTGGCCCGGCCTCGTATAATGTAAGCAAGCAGGAAATCAAATGGACATCCACTAATATGAAATATATTTTTTATGTTAAGATGGATTAGGAATCATTTAACTACCAGTTAGGTCTAAAAATAAAATATTCCTTAAGAGTCCATGAGAAATAATTTTTTATAAAATATTACTTGCTTATTAATAAATTTATTTTTTATTTTTTATTTTTTTATTTGATTGATTTAGATAATTAATTACGATAAATATATAAATGAATGAGTAAATAGCTTTCTATTCACGTGGTTGCTGTAACCTCGTTTTTCATTGAGAAACAAGTGAGGATACCTTAGTTATTCAAGTCGAATATTTGGTTTATATTTTTTCATTCTTTTAATACAAATACTAATATTATCAATGTAAGTTTTATTTTCAAAAAAAAAATAATAATAGACACATTCTCCATTAATAAAGTTACTTATAATTTTTAAATTCTTAGGGCTGCATTGTGGTTTATCCCTTTAACCTCTTGAATATTTCTTAGCGCCGCATGGGAATACAAAAGAAAACAAAACAGCGTATCACCAACTCTGCCAACTACAGATGCAAGAAGCTTGCTGGGCCTGCGCGGCGGTTACAAGCTCTCCCCTTCCATTCCATGCTAACATTACAAGAAAATTCACATTTAGTGACTAAATTATTGATCATTAAATCTTTATTTTTCATCACAAATTATTATTAATGATAAAATTTAAACCGTTAATAAAACCCTTGTCACTAATGTTTTTAGTGACAAATTAAGCACCTGTCATAGAAAATAATTTTATAGTGATAGAAAAAATTAACATTGTTAATAAGTTATTTATAACAATTTTATTTGTTACGAAAAAATATTCGTCACAAATTCAATTATGATGTAAAATTTAGTCATTAATTATTAAAATTAATATTAAATAAAAAGATATTTATATAATTATAACACAAATATTTTAATAAAAATTTTGTCACAAAAAATAATATATAAATTTATCACAAAAGTTTAATAAAAAAATATAATTATTTCAATACTAATCAATTTTGATTAAAATTAATCAAACTCGATTAAAATTAATCAGGTCCAAAGTAATCTCAAGTTTTATTGAGTTGCACATGTTTTATAGTACAAAAATTTATTTTCTTAAATATTTTTTATAGATGTGGGATATATTTATAGTGCAAAACCTTATTCTCTTATGTATTTTTTATCGATGTGGAATGCATTGATTAGAGAAAATTGACAATTTTTAGTGACGAAATATATTTTTTAGTAATAAATTATTTGGTCATCATTGAATGTGTAAGGTATATGTGACCAATATTAAAATTTTGTCATAATTATAATGCATTATGTGATGATTTTTATCGACAAAAGCTTATTTTATCTCTATAAATAATTTTCGAAAATAAAATATATTTTTTATGATGAATTTTTTTATTCATCATTAAATATGTATGCATCTGTGATTAATTTTTTAAATCTGTTACAATTGTAATAAATTATAGTGATAATTTCAAAATTTATCACAAATTTTTGTCTCTAAAAATTATTTTTCTTTTGTAGTGTAACGTTACCCACCTTCCATAGGTAAGACTGTTTTCCACGTGGCAATAAGAAGAAAGAAAATTTCGACACGTCAGTTACTTTGGGCGCCTGCTCTTACTCCGACTGCGTAATCTATTGTCAATTATGGGAGTATTTATTAACTGTTCACCAACGGCTCTTCATAGTGTTTCTTCCCCTTCAGCATTCAATTTTAGTTTTAAAGTCATTTCGTCTTTGCCAATCTCCGGAGTTCACTGAGTTTCTCTCTAATGGGTTCTGGTTCTTCTCCACCATGGCCTGTCCAAATATTCATGTTTGCTGTTGTTATGCTGTGCTTGATTGCGGTGGTTGTGGCTCAGCTACCGGGCAAGTGGGAGGTGTTGGTTTCAAACGCCGGCATAGCCTCCATGCACACGGCGGTGACGCGTTTCAACACGGTGGTCCTTTTGGACAGGACCGACATCGGTCCATCTCGCAAAATGTTGCCCAAAGGCCACTGTAGATACGACCCAGGGGATGCTGTTCTCAAGCGCGATTGCTACGCTCACTCTGTTGTGTTAGACCTTCAAACAAACGAAATCCGACCCTTGATGATTCTCACCGACACCTGGTGTTCCTCTGGACAGTTTCTTCTCGATGGGACGCTACTGCAGACTGGCGGTGACGTGGATGGGATTAAGAAAATCCGGAAATTTGAGCCCTGCGAGGCAGGCGGGACTTGCAATTGGGTGGAGCTCCGAGACGTGGAGTTGGTAAATGGGAGGTGGTACGCTACAAATCAGATATTACAAGATGGTTCTGTGATTATTGTTGGAGGCAGAGGAGCAAACACTGTAGAGTATTATCCGCCGAGAAAGGGAGGCGCCATTCCGTTTCAATTCCTCACCGAAGTTGAGGACAATCAGATGGATAATTTGTACCCATATGTCCATCTTCTCCCCAACGGCCACCTTTTCATCTTCGCCAACAACAGGGCGGTGTTGTACGATCACCAGACCAATAAAGTAATCAGAGATTACCCGCCGTTAGACGGTGGTCCTCGAAATTACCCATCGGCTGGATCATCCATGATGCTGGCACTTTCTGGGGATTTCTCGACAGCAGTGATTGTCGTCTGCGGTGGGGCCCAGTACGGAGCTTTTATCCAGCGAAACACAGATTCCCCTGCTCACGGTAGCTGCGGCCGCATTGTGGCGACGGCGGAGAACCCAACTTGGGAAATGGAAGATATGCCATTCGGGCGAATCATGGGCGACATGGTCATGCTTCCTACTGGTGACGCCTTAATCATTAATGGAGCTCAAGCTGGCACCCAAGGATTCGAGTTGGCATCCGACCCCTGTTTGTACCCGGTTCTTTATCGCCCAGATCAGCCGGTTGGATTGCGGTTCATGACCTTGAACCCAGGAACCGTACCCAGATTGTACCACTCAACCGCCAATTTGTTACCGGACGGGCGGGTTCTAATAGCCGGAAGCAATCCGCATTATTTCTATAAGTTTAAAGCAGAATTCCCGACCGAATTACGTATCGAGGCATTCTCGCCGGAGTATCTATCGGCTGATCGTGCCAATTTACGACCGGGAATCGAATCCATTCCTGAAACGGTACGCTACGGTGAGGGATTCAATGTGTTAGTGTCCGTTCCGTTGCCGGTGGTGGGGATTCTGGAGGTCAATTTGGGAAGCGCGCCTTTTGCAACGCATTCATTTTCACAGGGACAAAGGCTGGTCAAACTGACCGTTACGCCATCTGTGCCGGAGGGCCGCGGTCGGTACACGATAAAGTGCACGGCGCCGCCAAACGGAGCCGTTGCTCCGCCTGGGTATTACATGGCATTTGTAGTCAATCAGGGCGTACCAAGTGTAGCACGTTGGATTCATTTGGTGCCTTAAATTTCATTAATTAAGGAGAATTTTCATTTATTTCTTTGCGACAAATTTGAATTATTTTGCATTTTGCCACAAATGTAAAATCAAATGTCGGTAGAGAATTGAAGACCCTACCAAACAACTCCCCCACCAACTACTAATTGTTAATAATTTTTGTATTCCTTTGTTTCAAACGAAGAAAAAGAATTCCCACTAATTGTAGTGCAAACTGTTGCTGTAATCTTCATGATTGTGGTTATGGATGACCCGCAAAGATCCCCACTTGATGAAAATGTCTTTTGAATATGTAAAGGGGTTATACTTATAATGTCAAGTATAATTATAAATGTATAATTATAATATAATATTAAGTAAATATAACATGACATTAAATAAGTAAATATAATATAATATTAGAAGTAAAATTTGAAATAAAATATATCAATTATATATAAAATACATCTTATTATATATTTATAATGTCATGTAATATTATGATTATAATATTTTCATACATATAAATACTCTTTAATATATGTGAATGAAATTGTAATCAACTTTTTTCCCCCTTTTTTTAAATAGTTCTTACACCTAGTCATGATTTTCAATGTACAATACATGAGATGTTGTAGCTGAGTTGTCCTCACATTATTAATTAAGCTTTGATTTCATGAGAGATAAATGAGAAGCTTCCTTAATATCAATATGACAATATAAATTCTTTAATATCAATATAAATCACCTCTCTTTAATCAAACTGAGAAATTATTAGTAAAAAAAAAAATTAAAAACAGTTTTCAATATAGAGTAGTTAATAAATTCCAACATACATTTGCATGGGCTGACTTTTATACAAGCTGTTGGGGCCCGTAAAGTTTTGTGTCGAACCCAATTACCATATAGGTCCTTTTTGGGGCTTTAATATATACTTCATAGGCCCCAAAACGTTTTACCTTTTTTTTTATTTTTTGGGATGTCTCAAAACCTCTTAACTTTTAAGCCTTTCTTTACTCCTTGATGCTCCTTTCGCTTTTGAGCTTTTATTTGGGCCCTTCTTATTTTTATAATTTCTATATTAGCTGTTTGGGTCCTTAACGTTTTTTTGCCCACCATTATCTTGAAAAAGTTGCAAATACAATACAAAATTTATTTATTTTTTTATTTAGAACTGTAAATTTTATTAATTTTGAAAAAGACAATAAGCTTGTTCTAAAACATACCAACGTATTTATACATTTACAAGGTACAAAGACTGAAACACAATTGAGTCTATTTCTGATAAAAAAACTAATCAATTAATACTATTCTTTTTTTCTTTTTTTATGAACTAATTATTATACTATTCTTATTGCTATCTGAACGATTAATTATACATCATTAAGCCATTGACCCTGCATCATCACTTTCGTGGCAATCAGCAACGGTCACATTCCTCTGCACATTTTTGTATGTATAGCGCTTTGCCAAGACAACATAAATGCACAAGTTGGCTGCTGTGATTCCAGCCAAGAGCCAATAGAAGTTATCCAGGCGGCTGCTGTTCAAGTCTTTGCCAAACCAACTTTTTCCTCCTTTCTTTGTGATGTTATCAGCAATCGTTATCAACAAGCTGCTGACGAAATTTGCAGCTCCGATCACGCTGAGGTAAAAGGCAATGCCTAAACTCCTCATGGAGTCCGGAACTTGGTCGTAGAAGTACTCTTGTAAGCCAACCAGGGCAAACCCATCTCCAAACCCAATTATGAGGAACTGTGGAGCCAACCAGAAGACACTCATGGAGAGTGATGAACCTTCTTTTTTTACAACATGAAGCCTCTTTCTCTCAACCAGGGCTGCAACAATCATGGTAGAAATGGAGAAAAGCATCCCAATACCAATTCTCTGTAGAATTTTGATGCCTCTCTCGTTTCCTGTTGTCTTTCTTAACAATGGTACGAGGATTTTTTCGTATAAGGTGACAGAGATGATCATTCCAATGGCGCCTAAGGAGTAGATTGAGGCAGGAGGGATTTTGAAATTTCCCATTTTTAGGTTCATTGTAGTCCCTTGTTTGATGAAGAATGTTGCAGCTTGCGCCACACAAACTCCAAATGGTAAAGTTGCAAGCCAAATAGGGATCAAGTTGAGAACAAGCTTCATCTCCTCCACTTTGGTCACGGTTGCAAGTTTCCATGGACTCTGGTTTTCAAATGAATCTTCCTTGTTTTCAAGTATAGCAGCTTTGTCAAGGAACCTGAAAAAATACACAGCATCAGAGATACAAGTCTCTCAGAGGCAAAACATCAAACAGTTATCTTACTATAATATGTAGTCAATTACTGGAGCTTCTTGGTATGGCACAAAAGCCTTCCTTGGCCTTGACCCTTCTGAGACTTGGGAACTTCATACAACTCCGAAGAACAAAACGGATAAGACAATTTTCTTTTGGAAATTGCAGCAACAAGAACTTGAAGCATCGGCGTTAAGGGGCTTCCCATCGGATTCCTGTAGCGGTAAACGGACCTTCCGATGACGAAGATTAACAGGGAAAGCGCCATAACGACAGTCAAGATGATATCCGCAACTCCCCAGTTGACATGATCTTGCACGTAAACAATTACAGTCACACCCAACAGGAGTCCGCTACAGAGGCCAGAGTTCCACCAATTGAAATACGACATTTTCTTCTTTCTTTCTTCCGAGTGATCATCGTCGAACTGGTCGGCGCCGAAGCTCTCCAATGACGGCTTGTGCCCTCCGGTTCCGATGGAGATCAAGTATATGGCAAGGAAGAAGATGATTTTGTGGAGCTTCCTGGGCTCAGTGCACACATCAGCATCACAGGCCCTTAAACTCGGCAGAAACCAGGACAATGTCAACAGAAGCAAACCCTGTGATCCAAAAAAAATGAAACTGTCACTTGGGTGATTTCAACAGGGCTTTTCAGCCCAAATTAATACTTTGAGCCAGAAAATGGGAATGAAAGTGGGTTTACCAAAAGGTAGACCATGGTCGAAAACAGAACAGTGTTGAATCGGCCCAAGTAACCATCAGCCAAGAACCCACCAAGAAGGGGCATCAATGTGGTGACGCCAGACCAATAATTCACACTCTTAGCTGCTGTTTTGAGGTCTTGGTGGATGACCATGGTTAGATACAGGATTAAACTAGTTGCTATTCCAAAGTAACTCAACCTCTCACTAAATTCAATTGCTGTCCAAGAAATCAAACGTACCAAGACATTAGTTTTATTCTTATCTAGACACTATTTGGTATCATTGTCAACATTTTTTTAAATTAAAGATTAAAAATTGATAACTAATTTTCATGTGACATTAAAAGTATATTTATAAAATTTCAAAATGCAAACTCAATTATTTGATGCACAACCAAATTAAGTGCAATGGAGAAGAATTGGTTGGATATACTTTCTGAGATTGGTGGTCTGTGCTGTTATTGTGGACCTAATTGGTGTTAATTCTTAAGGGGTTAAAGGCTCCACATTGACTCCTCAAAAGGGGAAGGGACAAAGGGTCCTAATATGTACAGAACCACAAGTTCTGTGATTCTGAGAGAAAACATATAAGACAAGTACATTTCCATGATTCCCTGGCATGACCAAGAAAAGGGTATTCGAAATTGGAGGAATTAGATGCAGGAGACCCCCCCCCCCCCTCCAGCTTTGCATTATGGTTACCCAAACAGCAAATACTGTACCAAGTGGTGAATGACGATCGTATTGTATGGCTAATTTGTTTTGATTTGGGAAGTATATATATGCTTAGGACCCTTGACGACCCCACATCGGAATCTTGTAAATATATACTCCTATTTTTTATGGCTGACTAATTTTCTTTGTCTTTTTAGTTAAAAAAAGCTTGGAGAAAAAAGAATAAGAGGAAACTAAATGTTGTTCCTATGAACTTCGTTTTGCATAATTTGATCAATCAAACAATAGCAAGGTTAGCAACATGCCAACATGTTTGGACGAATATGATATAGAGAACTTAATCGAAAATCAATTAGAGACAAGTGAATAGTCAGAAGTATATTTCAATTGTAAAAAATTTGAAATTAATCAATATGAGATTTTTTTTTTTTGAAAAAAAAAAAACGTATGAGAAGTATTATCAAACTTTAAAAGTTGATTTTCCCTTAAAAAAAAAAAAAAAAAAAACTGTGTAGAGCTAATTTAGGCAAACAAATAATGGGTAAATAAAATATTGTTACCTACCAATAATAAAGAAAGAAGCTTTCCAAACGCCGGTGGAAGAACGAAGAGGAACCCTCCCTTTATGATCCACAGAGGAATCATAAACCCATTTCTCTTGGTCGACAGCATTTGTCTGGGCTTCACTTTTCTGCTCCATCTTTGCTAGGTACCTTAGGGTGTTGCAAAGGACTCAAAAGAGAAGTGGGACGTTTCGACGACGGAAGAAGCTTGTCTTTGGGGGTTTATATAGGGGAAGGATTGCTTTGTTTTCCTCCCACTCAATCGGTCATTGTTGGTCTCTCGATGGGAACAGCATCAAATCCCACTTTTTTTATGGGGTGTGATTATCGAATCCCACTTGTTCGTTGGCAAAAAAAATTGTTTTTTTAAATATCAAAGGAAAAATGATGTAAAATGAAAGTTCATATATTCAACGGAAATGATATACTCCCTCTGTCCAACAACGCCGTAGTTTGACTTTTTGTATGTTAATACAAAATTTTTAATGAAAATTAAATATAACATATAAGTCATAAAAATGATAATCAGCACCTAAACTCCACAGTTTAACCGTCATCAGTCGGTACGTACGGTGCATTTTTTTAAGTCAAAAGTTAGAATTCAAATTCCCCTAACCTCAATTTATAACCTATTTAATATATATATATATATATAAAGGATAATTAAACTTTTTTAATGAAGTAAAACTATTATTTTTTATCTAAAAATAATAGATAATTTTTATTTTAACATTTATTTTAAGATAATAATTATTTTTTTTATATTTTTAAAAGGAAAAATATTTTTTTAATTTAATTTTATGATTATCTTTTCATTTAAATTATTCATCCTATTATAAATTTTTTTTTTAATTTTTTATGGATAAAATAGTAGAGATATAAATTGTCGAAAATCTTTAATCGCAAGATAGAGGCAAAAAAGAGTCTATTATTCTGAGATGGATAATCATGATAAGAACTATATATAAGAAAAAGAAAATTAATTGACAGCAATTGACATTAGGTTAAATTTTGACTTAATTTTTTTTATCTTAAAAATTAAAATATCAAATTAAACTAGCAATCCTACCATTTAACCAGAAGAAAAAAGGAAACATTGAAAAAGAGATTTAAAAAATCAAATTAAATTTTATGGGAGTATTAGACTTTTATTGTTAAATGTAGAGGAAATTATTCACAGATAATTTTTATTGTAAAATTTTATGTATTATTTAAATAATTGAATCTTTATATTTATTTGATATATATAATATTAAATGTATCTATTTATTAATAATATATAAAAAATATATAAAAATATTATATAAAAACTATTTTTAATCACTACCTAATCACATATAGAATAGTACTATTTCTTTGTCCCAAATGTGAGTTTAAATGGAGATTAAAAGAATTATATATAGTCAATTAATTTTTTTTTATAACTGGTTGCAAAATGTGATACAATTTGCTTTCATTTCTTATTCCATATTACTTGCATGTCATACAACTGTAATTCAGAATTTTTTATTTTCAGTGAAAAATATTATCACTGAATTATTTAGATTGTTAACAAATCAATTCTAATTAAAAACGAAATCTTAACATGATTTACACGTTTTTTAAAATAGAATCAAGCTATTAAAGTTTTTTCTTTTCATCATTCTCCAGCCAAAAAAAGGCTGAAAATTTTTACTTTGAAATATTCATTGCTGTGTGAAGAGAGGAAAAGAATCAGAATTAAAGAATAAAGAATCTGAGTTGAGGATAACTAAGGAAACAACCAGCAAATTAAAAGAACAAGGGAAACTATCCTAGGCACGGTATTAGGAATGATCGGTGCGATGGATATATGGTCAACAGCAACATTGATCATCTCCATGAGCATGGGCACTATCTAAACATACATCTGCTCATCTCCATGAGTATAGGGAGTATCTAAACATACATCTGCAATTATATACGTAATGGTACGTATTTCTACATAGAAGTTAGTTCAATTGAATTCAAATTTAATTAGTATTTTCTAACATGGCGTAAACTCTACATACTACAAATATAACATTACACAATAATTACAAACATACAAAGTATGATTAATCTTGAATATCTTCTTTTGTAGTTAATAACATAAATAATTTAATGATAATCTTTTTTTAATAGAAGTAAGAAATCTTAAATTTAAATCACATGATATATGAATGAAATAAGTTAAAAGATGAAAAAAAATTATTTTTTATTATGTAGTTCAAAATAATATATATATCCTTTTTTGTGATGTATTTTCATTATTATTTTTATGACTTATTTTGATTTAGTTTTAAGAAAGGGTAATGATATCTCAATAATTTTTTATATAACTTTTATATATCTTTAAATAAATTAATACACACTATATTATGAGTTTTAATAAAGTAAAAAATATTAAACATTAAATAATATTTAAATTTGTATAAAAAAAAAGTTTTTCTAAAGATACAAGTTAAATATATATTTTTGTCATAAATATATATTGAAAAATATAAAACTTAATATTAATTTTAGTATTTGTATTAAGTTGATGAATTTAATTGGACATTTAAAAATTAAAAGTCACCTTTTATTTTTTTAATAAAAATTTATGATAAAAATATGTATTTATTATTATCTTAACTTATACATTTAACAAAACAAAATATTTATTAAAAAAAGTCTTCAAATTATTATTTTTTAAAAAAAAATATAGCCACACTCAATAAGTTTCAAGTATACTTTTTCTCTAAACGAAAATTTTAGGACCGACCAACCACAGTGGAAGAGCCGCTAGTGCCCATAGCACTCCTCTAGTTCTAACTATTTCTATTTTTGGTACCACAAAGCGGTAGTTGGACACCTTTATACTATTGACTTATATATATATATACGGGAAAGTGGGTATCAGTCCTACCTCCCAAAAAAAGTTGGAGTCCCAAACTAAACGACGTCGTTTTCGTCTAAAAAACACAGCCCTGCTCAAAAATCCAGCCTCTGCTCCTCAATCATCTCTCAAAAATCCAGCCCCTCTTCTTTGCCTTTCCCTCTTTTGCCTTT